AGTATTTATGCCCCCATGATTAAAGATAATTTATGTAGTACGAAAATCTCCTGAAATAACTGAAAATAACTTCCCAAAATCGTCTCCTCGCTTGCCACGGTGAAAACAACTGGTGATATATTTTATAGTATATTTTATTAGGAATATTAAACCGGAAAAAATCTTTCGAAGTTCATTAGTTCGCTCCCTTTGCTACCCCAATTAGTGTCTGAGCCAATAGGATCACCCTTGTTGAAGCGGCTACACTACCGTCTGGATTTGGGTGATTTGGCCTTTGGGCATACTCAGCCCGACTTTGAAGGCGAAAATGAATTAAAATAATTAAAATAATTAATGGTTCGGCGTTCGGCGCATGAGGAGTACGACGTTTGACCCCGGGCCTAGTTAATAATGTGAAATTAGTGGAAATCACGATGCCGTTTCAGCAACTACGGCAGTGTGCAACGTTAACCCTATTTGTACCGGGGTTTTTTGATGTTGATATGACCAGGGGATTTATTCAGGTATGCACTTAATTGTTACTGTCAGATATGTACTTAATTTGTTTGTTATAGTGACATAACAAAATTTAACAAACAAATCATTTTCGATCATTCTTACACAATGTAGTCGAAGGCTGACTACAAACAGATTTCTGGGCTACCTATGGTGTCATGAGGGAATTTAATGAGTATAACGCCGTCTTTAAGACGAAAAATTGCTTTTTTAAATTGCTACCTATGGCTATTCAGTCTGGAATAAATTCTTAAAGAGTATCGGTATATGTATCCTTACTGTGGTAAGGCAATTGAGTATATCTATGGCTCAAAATTGACTTTTGAAAATCAAAAAAGCTGGTCCAATTGATGCCGAAGGATATTTGCATTAGCACTATGGAATATATGTACTCTGGCTAAATTCTTGGCAATGAAATCCCATATTTACACGTAAATATTATTTATCTGAATTTTTCAAGTTTCTAACCGTCTTTTAAATCTGTTAAATAAATCTTTTAAATAATATCAAAGCATAGAGTGTCTTATTGCAAATTTTATACCCAAAACTGAAACCATAATATGGCCATGTCCTTATTTTTTGTCTTCAGAGTTACGCTAAAAAGACCCGTGTATGGTCATAATAATCGCGCGTAAGCATTAATTTGTAAACTTTGTCTGAAAAATAGTCCAAGACGAGGGTGATGAAGTTGTTTTTTTATAGCCAAACGCCTAAAATCGCTAAATACGCTGAATTGCTCGCCTTATTTACATGCCATGTTGTTGTTGTTCATTTCAAGTACATAAAATCCTTTTTAAGCTCTTAACATTTCCTTTTCACATTTCTATTAATCCTAGATATTTGTTTTAATTCATTTCGTCTTATCTCCTGGAGATATATTGTATCTAAAGCATGTATTACATGTTTTCTAAACTCAAAATTGTTTTTGCTAGCATCAAATAATTTCATAAACTAGTTTTTAGCTCAGAAGATCCACTTTATCCATCTTTTTAAAAATTTTAAGTCAAATGGGACATCGCCCTAAAGGTTTTGTTTAAATCAGCATTCAGTTTTTGTCAAAAATTCGATTTTTCTAACAATTTTCAACATGACACTTGCCAAGCAAGTTACGCATGCGCACATTGGTCAAAAAACCGTGTGACTCGATTGAGTCGATTCGGCTTCAGTTTCAAATCTGTATATAGCAACACCGCGGAAAAATGTCTGCGCACGCGCCGAAATAACAAAATATGATGGTAAATCTAAATATCAACTTTTTGAACAAAACATCCCATTAGTTGATAAAATATAAGTTAAGAAAAGGCAAAAATATACAAGACGGCCAGACAGAACATAGATTAAAAGCCTTCTAGCATTTAGAGTATCGAACGAACTGGAATTCACGGTAAATTTTCCTTTTTTTACGGGGTGGCTCTAGAATATTTTTCGAAAACAAAAGTTTAAACCTAAAAGTTAAGAAAACCCGCGGAAAGTTAAGCTTTCTAATCTAAAATACATCTTAATCTTCAATCATGGAAAACACGTAAACGTCTCGTATCTGGCGACATATTTTTTTTTAATAAAACGTGTCTCAATTAAAAGTTCGGAAACTGTCGTTGCTTATTTGATAAACAAAATGTTTGAGACGAAAAATTTGTTAACAGTCACCTTTTACCGGTGTTTTTGTTGGATGCCACTTCTAGGACTCTCTGGACGTTTTTTCTCTTAGTTTCTATAATGCAGTGTTTATTTATGCCCTCAAAATATGGATTTGAAGACACGAATGAAATCACTCCTTTTTACCGCCATTTTTAGCCTTCGGAAACGTTCGGAACGCTTCTTAATTATATTTCATGAACTCCGGTCGAAATATATGAGATTACAAATGGTATGACTTCGTCTTTACCTTGCTTTTACCGTGCTTTGGTCCGAAGCACGGTAAAGACGAAGTCATACCATTTGTAATCTCATATATTTCTCCCTTCGTTCACTCATATAACCCCAATTATACATCAGGCTCCTCAGCCCTTGTATAATTGGAATTATTTTTAATCTCACTTACAGGCAGAGTTGACGCGTGCGCAGACGTTTTTCCGCAGTATTGTATATAGCTAATCTGCGCCCCATATTGCTCCATATCTCTCTCCTCCGCAGAGGCTTTTAAAGGAATGAATTCGGAATTGCGCTAGAAGGTGGAATTGCGCTAGAAGGTGACGTATAATTGCGCAGAAGGTGGAATTGCGCTAGAAGCAGCGGTTGTCAGATATGAGATACGTCACCTTCTAGCGCAATTCCACCTTCTAGCCACTGAGCTATATAATAATTCCTGGAGGACCGGCTCCTAATGTTTTTTTCTCAAAAAGTGAAGCAAAAAACATGGCGGACTTCGCCCTTCTGCGCAACCGCAGAAGCTCTGCTGACGCCACTTGGTTCCTTTTGGCCATGGTATTTACCACTGACCAGGCTCAATAATGAGCCCGCTACAGCAGTATTCTCCCCCCTGGTTTTTGTAAATAACAATTCTCCCCCCTGGTTTTTATATTTTTTTGCCGTGAAATCTTGTTTGTTTTTGAAATATTTTTTGGTTGTTTTTTTGATATTTTTCGCACTGACATCTAATAAAGTTTTATTTTAAGATGAATACAAGTCATACACGCTGTTTTTGCCAGTGCGGGAACGAATATATATTAAAATATCGAAAAATGTGGACAAACTAAAGATTTTAATACTGACACAAACTGACAGGTTTATTATTTTATTAGTCTTAATAATATTTTTGTTATTTATACATTCCAATATGAAAGTTTACAAATGTTTGAATGTTTTGGCACTATCCTCGCATATTTTGAAGACAACTAGGAATTTATGGGCAACAATTTGACTTTTCTAAACCCTGAACTGATGAATTGCGCAGGAAGTATGTAATCAGTATTCAGTATGTGATGCTGTCTTCAAGACTTTATATCTATGCACAATCCAAAATCCAAAGAAACAGAGGCCATAGCTCAGGCAAAATGCTGGGCAGCTGACGAATACTAAGTGCAGGAATATAGTTTCAACCAAGAATCATATTTGCATAATATACTTTTCGTACAAGTCATCAACTTGTACCTTAATAAACCTGTTTTCAGCATTCTCTAATTGCATCCCTGGACCCCTGGTCATAGAAAAAATAACATTTATCCCTCCATAGGCTCCACTGATTAGCCTAATGAATATAGCCCTCTTGGAGGTTGATACCATACACAGAAAATTACAAAAGTTGCTGCAGATTGAAGACACACTGCTCAGTCAATGCATGTTTATATTTATTTCATTAATTAATAAATATGACAAATGGTATAAGAACACCAGCCAACAACAAAATCAGATAACATGGAAATGAAGAATAACAATGCACAGTCATAAAATGCATGAACTTCATCCTGAAAAATAAAAATGGAGATATAATCAAGATTTATTCCCAAGGTGCAAGAAGCTAAAAAATAAATTAAAAGCCATGATAATTGATCATTTCACTTTGGATTTGACAAAGTAAACAATATAATATATTAACTAGGCTTTAACAGGGCTCACTATCAGAGGTTGGAATTAATTTACACTGTTTACAGCATCTTTTTATTTTGTATTAGCACCCTCAGATCATGTTAATTAATGCTGGGTGGGATCAATAGAAGAGGGACTATAGTAGACTCACTGGGGGAATGGTTTACCTATTAGCATTGATGTTTGCTATCATGAAAACAACATAGACCAAACTCAAAAGATTGACACTGCCAGGAATATAATTTTTTCCCCACACAAGTTAAGAAAAAATGATAAAATTTGGGTATATAACATTGCATTGACTGTTTGTACCAAACGTTTTGATGGATTTATTGTCTCAGAGGCTTTGGTAACCAGTTTTACTATAGTCCAACTCGAAAGGCCAAAAACGAAATTGTTTATAGTAAAAAAGTTGAAAAACGGCTTACCTCAGTTACCTGGATGTTATAAAATAAGAGCAAAATGAGAAAATTCACCCTACCGATAAGTGAATTAAGCCATTCACAACGTCAGACGCAGAGCACGAAGCTATGTGTCCTTTCCATTTGTTGAACAGGGAAAAAGAGAAACACTTTTATCCATTTTATATGAAAAACAAAAAATATATACGGAAAGCTGAAAATATTTTCATAAAATCCAGGAGGGAGACGGACTCAATTTCTCACTTTGTATCGCGGTATGTCAGTGGTAACTACCATGAGCAAAAGGAACCAAGTGGCGTCAGCAAACGCCGAAATCCGCCATGTTTTTTGCTTCACTTTCTGGTCAAGAACCGGTCCTCCAGGAATTATTATATAGCTCAGTGCTTCTAGCGCAATTCCACCTTCTAGCGTAATTCCGAATTTATTCCTTTAAAAGCCTCTGCGGAGGAGAGAAGCTCCATATATGGATGGGTCCTTGGCTGCAGGCTAATTTGGATCACAGTGTGTTTGGATACAAGTCAAGTACTCGCCAAGCCCAAGTAGTCGCAAACAAGCAAACGTTTTATTATCACTCTTTACTGTTTGGCAATAAACATTTACGTACAGTTTACTGGGATAACAATTGCAGAACAAGCAATATTTTGTTTTCAATTCTTGACGTCAATGTGTACATGACTACATCAATGGCAATGGAACGTCCACGTGTCACTCAAGTGAAAGCTATCCAATTGGCAAATGAAATATTTGGCCTTGAAGTTGACTTAAACTCGAAGAAGAGTGCTAAAGAACTAGACAGTTATGATGATCGAAATTTCTACCTTAGTGGCGTGAAAGATGGCAAGCCAGGTGAATTTTTATTGAAAGTTTACAACCAATGTTATGATGAAATGGATCTCGTTGATGCTGTGCACACAATTATATTTTGTCTGGTAGATGCTGGGATCGCTTGCCCTGTGCCACAAAAGACCTTGGCTGGCAATTATCTAGAAGTACGCAATTTACCATCAACACCAAGTAACGATCAAGCAAAAAGAATAAAACTTGATGATAATTTACGTCCTTGTATTGTTTGTTTGTTCACCTTCTTACCTGGCAAGACAATGCAGGATTTCAAAAAGAATGGTCACACATTCAAAAATCAATTCTTCCTTCAGCTTGGTCAGGCTGTAGGTAATGTTGCTAATGCATTAAAGGTATTGTGTTTTGTATGAAGCATTATTAGGGTCATACTTTTACCATATTATTAGGTTATTACCAAATTGAAATTCTGTTGTGCTAATTCTCATTATATGTTTCGTTTATTCGAATAACATAATGGCAGCATCCTATTCTTTATGGCTTTACTCACTGAGCTAGTATATTAAAATTCCTGGAGGACTTGCTCTCGGTCAAATAGTGTCGCCAAAAAGATGGCGGACTTTGAGCTTTGCTGACGCCACATGGTTCCTTTTGCTCATGGTAGTTACCACTGACATATTGCAATACAAGGCAAAAAACTGTGTCCATCTCCCTCCTGGTTTTTATGAAAATATTTTCGGCTTTCAGTATATATCTTTTTGTATTTCATGTAAAAAGGATAAAAGTGTTCTTCTTTCAACAAATAGAAAGGAGACATAGTTATGACATAGACACTATGTCTGATGTTGTGATTGGCCTAGTTCACTTATTGGTAGAGTTTTTTCTCATTTAGCTGTTATCTTTAATATAGCATCCAGGTAAGCCGGTTTTTATAACAATTTTGTTTTTTGCCTTTGGACTATAATATAAACTGATTACCAAAGGTTCTGAGCCAATAAATCCATCAAAACTTATGGTACAAACAGCAAATATACTATTTTCGACCTTTGGTACATTACAGTGCAATGTTGAATGTTATATACCCAAACTTTATCATTTTTCTTGACTTGTGTGGGGAAGAAATTAAATTCCTGGCAGTGTCAATTTTTAATTGTCTATACCGTATGTGGTTTTCATGATAGCAAATATCAATGTTAATAGGTAAACCTCTCCCCACTCCCCAGTGAGTCTACTAGATCCTATCATCAATTAACATGATCTGACTTGCAAAAGTGCTGAGTGGGTGCTGATACAAAGTAATAAGATTTTTGCTGTAAACAGTGTAAAATTTCAACCTCTGATAGTGGCTATTAAATTCTAGTTAATATATTATCTTGTTTGCCTTTTCAAATCCAAAGTCAATTTATCAATTACCATGGCATGATTTTTTTGCTTCTTGAACCTTGTGAATAAATCTTGATCAGATCTCAATTTTTATTTTTCAGGATGAAGATACCATGAAATAAAGCAAGAGATGACTTGTCATGCAAATTGCTGGAACATTGAACTGAGATAATTGCCATGTTAACTGATATTGTTGTTGGCTGGTGTTTTTATGACAATTGTTATATTTATGAAAAAAATAAATATAAACATGCATTGACTGAGCAGTGTGTCTTCCATCTGCACCAACTTTTATAATTTTCTGTTTATGGTATCACCCAACTTCCAGGGGGCTATGTTTATTAGGCTAATCAGGAATAATAGAGTCTATGGAGGGATGAATATTATTCATTACCATGACCAGGGGTGCAATTAGACAATGTTGAAAACTCTTATAGCCCATTGAGGTACAAGCTGATGACCTATATGGAACGGACATTCGCAAGCTGACAATTTTTATTAACAATTTAGTATAAGTTTAGTTTCAATGATTCTATTTGATTCAACCAATTGATTTGCATGCAATTTGATTAAATTAGTGGCCAAGTGTTGACAGCTATTTAGCACGCCGCCGGCACATAAGTTAAATAATGAAATTGAGGTAGTCGAGACATTTCGAGGCAGTTATCTGTAAAGACATGTTGGGGATTATCGCCTCCAAGTAAAAGTATCCACAACAATCACAAAAGAATGAATAAAAATGATTATATTTGTCTCGATGTCACAGATTGTAATTTCACAGATGTTTCACAAATCACTATATTTTTCTAGCTTGCTCCGCATGGTCGTGAAGTCATCTGACGTCACCTGATAAAGCCCCTGGGAGCTAATTCCGGACACACTCCCCCATGTATATACACGGAGTGATATACATGTCACACCTGTTTGTCATGCAAGTTCAACATTCATTAACGTCAAATATCAAAGTTTCTAATGTTTTTTTCTCTTATTGTTTCTTTATTCTTCTTTGTCTTCTTCCGCCGTTTGTCGAATACGCAATTCCGCCGCAGCTGCCGCGTCTCTTTTTGGTCGTGGTTGAAACGCAGGCGCACTTGCGTTAAGTCGAGGTGGTTGTTGCCAATCACAGGACAGTTCGAGAGGGCATAGGTGTTGAAGGGCACGTTCCAGGTTTCCTGTCCCAACCTTTAATTTTGCTGCTCTCGTTATTCCATCTCTTCCCTTTATCAATTCAGTGACGATACCAAGTTTCCACATATTCCGGTTTTTCGATTCACCCTTTATAATAACCACTTCACCAACGGTTGGGTATGGGGTTTGTTCTCCTCCAGCACGACGATGCTGCTCGCGTAGGCTTCTTATATACTCTCTCGTCCAGCGATTCCACAAGGCTTCTTTGCATCTCTTAATATGCTTAGCTCGTTTCCGTAAATCTGCTTCGTCCATGTGGTGCGCCTTTAATTCAGGTGCGTGGTTAGGGTTAATCGTCAGCATCGTGTTAGGGGTTAGTAGTGGGAGTTCAACATCGTCCTCCACATAGCTCAGAGGCCTATTGTTAAGACAGACCTCCACATCAATCACAACTTCCTCAAGCTCATTCCATCTTAATGTCCGATTTCCGATACTCTTGTAAAAGGCACTCTTAAACAGGCCGACTAAGCGTTCAAATTGACCTCCCCACCAAGGGGCACGGCTCAAGTTAAACTGCCACTTGATGGAAAGGTCAGCCAGGTAATCATTGAGACGTTCATCTTTCTGTACACATCGGAGCCATTTCTTGGTCGCCTTAAAGGTCAAAGCATTGTCCGAGTAGATAAGCTTTGGCCTGCCTCGACGTGCGATAAACCGTTTCAGGCTCAGTATGAACTCAGGTGCTTCCATTGACTTCAATAAATCTAGATACACGGCCCGTGTCAGGCTGCAACCAAACAGCGCTAGATATGCCTTGTTTTCAGTTCCAGGTTTTGATTGATAGTAAATCGGGCCAGCGAAGTCTACGCCAATTACTTGGAATGGCGCAGACCCTTGTGTCCGTGTGCTTGGAAGGTTTCCTGGGGGTGGCGCCTGATATGCTTGTGCTCTAAATCTCTTACAACCCCAGCAGGCACTCCTCACTTTCTTGACCAAACGGCGCAATCTGGGAATCCAATAGTCGTCGCGTACCTTTGCCATTGTCAGGGACACACCCCCATGTAAAGTCAATAGGTGTGCTTGTCGTACAATTCCGTTCGTAAAGGGATGACTGTCTGGCAGGTAGATTGGAAACTCTCCTTCAATTCGCCCTCTACATTCAAGGATATTTTCGTTGTTTAGCTGCAGATTCAGTTGTAGCTGCTCTTCCTTGAAACTGGCTCTTCCTTGACATTCTAGTTGTGCTCGTTTAATCCACCAAAGTCTCTGTTGTTCAATCTCACTTGCGACTAGTGGGCCGTCTTGCCGAACCCCTGCTTTCGTCCTGCAGTTCCGGATAAATCGCCGAATCCATGCACAAATTCGCAGAATCTTGTGAACTTCGTAAGCATCAAGTAGTCGGTCGAAGTCATCACGGACGTGAGTTGTCATTGCGAAGATGCTTCGAGTCACCTTTAACTCAGCGTTAGATTCCTCGTTGGGCTCTAAGATCTTGTCCGATGGCCAACTAGTTTCTTCGCTCAACCAACTCGGGCCATGGTTCCATAGTTGATTATGTTCGACACTTCCGCCACGGCTACCCAGATCCGCGGGGTTCTCACTGGTCGGCACGTAATGCCACTTGACCTCCTGATGCTCCTGTATTTTGCGCACCCTGTTCGCAACGAACTGCCGGTACTCCCCGTGCCCGTGAATCCAGAAGAGTGCCACAGTCGAGTCAAGCCAACAGTGTACTGACACTGGGAATAGATTGATAGCTAACCGGACGTTAGTCACCAGATTGATCGCCATGTGACCGGCCACTAACTCAAGCCGGGGAATGGTTAAATTTCGCTTTGCTAACCGAGACTTTGAGCAGACGAGTCCTTGCGATGTCCCATTCTCCTGTCGGACGACCGCGTAGACAACAGCGCTAACCCCTTTTATGCTAGCATCTCCAAATGCGTGCAATACGATTTCTAAGATTGGTTGATGATGTGGTGCCAGAGTTCGCTCAACTTCAACGTATCTAGGAAGTTTGGAAACCCAGTCGATCCATTGTTTTCTCAGCTCTGCTGGGAGTTCACCGTCCCAGGCTATGTTGCTTTCACACATCTCACGGTAAATAAATTTCCCTTGCAGGGTCGTTGGCGAGGCCAGACCGAGGGGGTCATAGATCTTTGCTAGTTGAGAAAGAGCGCCTCGTTTTGTGGTGATAGTTTCATCTTTGTGCAGCCCAACCTTCAGGGTGTCTTTATCCTTGTCCCAAGGTAGTCCTAAAAGCTTTGTGCCCGGTCGGCTCGTCCCTAACTGCTGCTTAGCATAGGTCAATTCATCGTCTGCTGCTGAACTACCGCTGGCTTCAAGTTCTCTGGCATTTGAGTGCCATTTATGAAGCGTAAAAGAGGCGTCTTGGAAAACTTCGATGGACGTGTCTTTCTTTTCTTGCACAATGTCAATTGATGCACCGCCAACCATTAGGTCGTCCACGTACAGCCCTTCGCGAATCTCTTTAACGATTTCAGGGTACTGGCGTTCCCACAGTTCTAAATGTTGGTCGAGGACTCCCGCGAGAAGAAAAGGCGATGAAGTTAGCCCAAACAAGGCTCTTGTGAAACGGTATACTTGGGTTTCGGTACAGCCAGGTGGTGTCCAATGGAACCTCAATGAATCTCTCTCTTCCTCCTTTATTCTAATCTGCAAAAACGCTTTCTGGAGGTCCCCTGTCAACAGGATCGGGTGGAAACGTGATCTTATCAGGATGTTCCATAGCATGTTTTGAAGTGATGGTCCTGGATTCAAGCAGTCGTTTAAGGAGGGATGCTTCACATCTTCTCGTGCAGATGCATCATAGACCACCCGCAACTTTGTACTTTCTGCCTCTTTCTTGGACACTCCTTTATGTGGGATGTAGTATTCTTTGCCTTTGGGTACTGTGGGTGCTCTTTCAATCACTCCGCTTTCGAGCTGTTCTTGAAGGATGCTGTGGTACTCGTCATAATTCCCCTCTCGCTCAAGCCGTTTGACAAGTTGCCGTAACCTTCTCTGACTGCCTACTTCATTTGTTGGTAGTTCCGGATGGTTGGCCTTCCAAGGCAACGCTGTTTCATACCAACCAGCCTCGTTTCGTTGTAGTTGCTCCTTGAATTCCTGATATACAGTTCCTTGGTCATTCTCTGGCTTGTCAGCAAGTCCTAGCACATCCAAAGAGCACAGCTGCTCATAGTCTGTACTGACTGATCGGGTTAGCAGAAGGGGACTGGTCACATCTTCCCTACCAGGCGACATTAGCACCCAACCCAAGCGAGTACGTTCAGCAATGGGTTGCCCAGGTTTCCCAACTCGCGGTGCAGTTGTTGTCTTGATGCTGGCATACTCATTAACTCCGAGAACTACATGTATTGGAAGGTGTGGTTTGTCATCAGGATCATCTATTCTTACTCCCTTCAAATGGCTGTACTTGCTTAACAACTCTTCATACCGAGGATTATCAATTTCCATCAGTTGTGGCTTATGGACCTTGGATAGTTCGACTTCCATTGTGAATTGACAATCAGCTCCTTTGATAGTTGCAGGGTAGATTTCAACTCTGGTTGTTGTTGATCCCAGCATCATTTCAATCCGTTTTGTTTGGATCTCCCTCGGTTTCTTGTTCAAAGCATCTATAAGTTTGGCTGAGGCATAGCAACTCCCTGAGCCGGTGTCAAGTAGAGCTCTTGTTTTTATACCATCAACTTCAATGACCACCACTGGATAAATAACTTGGTTGTCTTCTGCTCTATGGGCTGACATGAACCCCTCAGGTTTCTTTGGATTTTCACAGATTGAGGTGTGATGTCGTCTACCACAGTCGTGACAGGTCACAGTACTTTTGCATTCCGCTGCTCGGTGGGAGGCTCCAGTACAGTTGAAACACAGTTTTTTACTTGCTAGTATTTTTCTGCGCTCCTCTGATGTTTTAACTGTTGGGCAGCTTGTTGATTTATGATCAGTAGCATTGCAATATACACACACACGTTGTGCCCCAGTCCCTTGGCGAGTGTGGTAAGTCCGACCCATTCTGTCTCGTCTTCGATCCTTGTCTTCGGAGTTGGAGTTCTCAGTGATCGGGTTTCTTCTTGCCCACAGTCGAAGGGCCTCTGTAAGTTGTACAAAATCCCAATTTTCCCAGTCTTGGTCTGTGCGAACGAGATCTCCTCTGATAGCTGGTAATTTATCTAAAGTCATTGCCACTGCTCCATCTACTTGAGAAAGTTTATTCATGGTCTGGAGTGATTGCACATTGTATGTTAGTTTCTCACAGAACTCATGAATCTTCCTTGCATTGGCTGTGTGAACTGGGGGAAGCTCTAATATTTCCTTCACATAAGCTTTAACAATCTCCCGTTCCTTCCCGTACTTCTCTTTAAGGATGGCTACCGCTCTATCATAACCCTCTGCTGAGTATGGCAGCGCTTCTACAGTTTTTCTCACTTTGTCTTCTAACAGTTCCCTCAAGTATGAGAATTTAGTAATCGCTGGCAAACTGGATTTGTCAATTGACTCCGTAAATTGACCCCAGAATCTGTTCCAATCAGTAAATGACCCGTTAAATTTAGTGATGACTAATTTAGGTAGTTTCGCTTGAACATTTGTTGCTTCGCTATGAGATTGGGGAGAACTGTCTTGATTTCTCTCAGGTTTTGACTTGAACATAGCTTTGGTCTCTTGCAACTTGACCTCGAATTGGATCTGCTCTTCTCTCTCGTGTGTTTTACGCTCTGTCTTTCGATTATTTAGCCAATCTTTCAAGGTTTCTACGCTTTGATCACCCTTTGCAATATGCGTATCAATATTCTCATTCCACGCATCTAATTCTTCGTCCCCAGTTTTCCCTGATATTTTGTACGCTTCGATTTCAATACGCAATTGATCTATTTCATTTATCACAGTTCTCAGTGTATTTTTATGCCTTTCTATCGCTTCCACATGCCCCTTTTCCACAATAGACGCTGTTCTATTCGCTGTTAAGTTTAATTGAGCGAGTTTTGTCTTTAATTTCTCTTCAGCGACCTCCATAGTCGACAAATTTCGCCCCGAAGGCGAATGTTTATGTTCGAGTTCGAATTAGACGAACGATAAATAGTCCCAAAATTCGCTGTTTAAGTGTACTCACCAAGCTCTAAAATCCCGTCGGAAGGTGCCAAGTGTTGGGGATTATCGCCTCCAAGTAAAAGTATCCACAACAATCACAAAAGAATGAATAAAAATGATTATATTTGTCTCGATGTCACAGATTGTAATTTCACAGATGTTTCACAAATCACTATATTTTTCTAGCTTGCTCCGCATGGTCGTGAAGTCATCTGACGTCACCTGATAAAGCCCCTGGGAGCTAATTCCGGACAGACAAGTGAAGAGTCATTTTAGTCCGTAGAGATTCACTCTTTAGGTATTGTAAATTCGTTTATGTTCGGATCTTTGATATTTGTAATCTTTTAATCATGGTCTAATCGCTATCTAATCAATTCTAATGTATTAAAATATATATTACGAAAAATCTGAGTACCGGATTGTGTATGGTTTTGCCCAAATGAAAACACTAAATGAAATATAGTATATTATGCAAATATGATTTTTGGATGAAACTATATTCCGGCACTTACTATCAGTCAGCTGCCCAGCATCTTGCCTGTGCTTTGGCCCCCGTTTCTGTAGATATATATAAAGTCCTGAAGACATTCAAGAGAACATCATTAAAAATTGCACACTTTTAGTAATATTTCTGCAGTTCAGACAATAGTGCCAAAAAGTTCAAGCATTTCGTTTTGTCCACATTTTTTTGACGTTTTAATATAGATTTGTTCTTGCAATTGCAAAAACAGCGTCTACGACTTGTATTAATTTAAAAAAAACACTTTATTGCAGGCCAGGCCGAAAAATATATCCGAAAGAAACAAAACAACAAGATTTGACGGCAAAAAAATCATAATAACCAGAGGGGAGACCCTGTTAATTACAAAATCTAGGGGGGAGAATGATACTGTAGCGGGCTCAGAATTGAGCCTGGTCAATGGTAAATACCATGGCCAAAAGGAACCGTGTGAACCATGTGGCGTCAGCAGAGCTTCTGGCACTGCGAATAAGGCGAAGTCCTGTGATTTGTTGAAGCCAACTCGTGTTAGAAGAATTTCACTCCCCACGGAAACAAAACAAAAGCCAGCGTGCTCGAAACTCGAGCTTGAAACTGTTCGAAGGGCGCTTTTTGGCCTTTTTTTCGTGTTTATGTATTTCTAATAAAAAGTATACTATAGGATAAAATAAATTGCTATAAAAACTGACAGCATGACCAACTTGATGTGTTCTCTTCCAAATCTAGAAGAGATTCGCCTCCGAAGAGGTCTGAACGCTTGGCCTCCGAAGAGGTCGTTTGGATTTCTTAAGACCCATTTACACTACACAACTTTTGCTTACAACTGTCGCATGCAACCTGCCTACAACACGACTTGCACAGTGTAAATCAAGCCAACAATACGCTTACGACAACTGCGTGCAACACGAAAAATTGTACGATTTTGAAACATGTTTTAGCCTGTCGTAGCCAAATATGGTAAAAAAGTGGCGTATTGTGCACAAATATGTTCCTTTCTGGGGCTACAATTGGGTACAATACATGTTAACTTATAACTTCAAAATGGCGGATGTAAGCAAAGCTGTAATATCTAACAAAAGAAAATCCAAGGACCCAAAGATATTTACTGACGAAGAAACAGAAACGCTTATTAACCTGTGGAGTAAGGAGCCAGTCCTTTATCAATGTAAACACAAAGACTAGTTCAAAAGCGAGACAAAATCCGCGAAATTTTATACAACTCCTGGTGATTGTAAACTCAAAGTTGTACAAGTGTGGATCACGAGCAAGTCGTGTTGTAGGCAGGTTGCATGCGACAGTTGTAAGCAAAAGTTGTGTAGTGTAAATGGGCTTTTACAAAATTTGATGTAAGAAATCCAATTCGGTAAATTTGATATACATAAAAATGTATTCAATACAAAAGGATTCATTTATAGTTAGAAAACGTACAAAAAAGAACCCTCCAATTAAGACTACAACGAAATAGCGGTACCTCGAAATAAAATATGAACTAGTGTTGTATAAAAAACGCAAACAAATTGGCGAACAAATGACGGTAGTAAAGTAATCGATACCTTTCGGATAAAATGAATAGCAGGTTTATCCTATAAATAGGACTTATCTGTTGGATAAGTATCAATCTTTTTAACCGCCTCATGACTCATGTGTTATATTGGAACACCGAACACCTATAGTGATAATAGTATAATTGACCCTTACAATACAATACAATACAAAGGCCGAGCCAACGGATTTTGGCTATGCTGCACACAGCTATATAGAGTGAAGTGCTTTTATTTTGGTTGTTCGTTTCAGGTGTATCGCAGCTCTTCCTACCCTCTAAGTTTCCCTCTAAGTAATGCGGAAAAACGCGCGCATTTTATGACGTCACGGCGAAGGAATGCAGCGCGGCGAGGCCATGATTTACAGTACGCTTCGTGTTAATTGGGATTTAGGTAGCTGTTACTTTATATAAATGTTTATGGAAATGAATTTAATTCTGAAGATATTTTACGGAAGAAATGACCCTTTTATGTAAATCATGGCCATGTATAAAATGCCCACGTTTTTTCGGTTTACCATGTGTACTTTTTACTTCCGGAAAAGACACTCTACTGACACTCTACAGGGTTTTATTACTCTGGGTACGAGGTTGGGTTATTAATTCAGAGTTTCAAACGATTCGTTTTCACCGTATGCAAGCTTTAAATCTTTTGTGCAATCTTCTTTCGTTGAATATTTATAATTTAAAGTCTAAAGGCTGCTTTCCACTTACGCGTTTTTTATACGCACGTACACGTACGGAAAATTTTAAATGCTTTTAAATTTTCATTATTTAACATCTAGGTCAACTAATGCATACTAAAATATGCAGAAAACTAAGTTCCTTCGATTTATTCACTTGGTTTTTTCAAAGGTAGCATGTACAAGGATTTAGACTTTTACGTGCGTGTACGTGCGTATGAAAAACGCGTAAGTGGAAAACAGCCTTAAGTATTAAGTTACGCTTAAAGGCTGCTTTCCACTTTGTTTTTTATACGCACGTACACGTACGGAAAATTTTAAATGCTTTTAACTTTTTATTATTTAACATCTAGGTCAATTAATGCATACTAAAAAATGCAGAAAACTAAGTTTCGATTTACTTATTTTTTTCAAAGGCAACAGGTATAAGGATTTAGACTTTAACGTGCGTGTGAAAAACGCGTAACTTAAAAGCAGCCTCAAGTCTTACCAATTTCCGTGGTGTCTAATTATACTATGCGAATTAAGTATTTAAATTATCACTTCGCAAATAAAATTTGCCAATATATTTTGATCAAATTTAGTCCCGAATATCATCGCGGACCTATTTTTTTACTTTGTTTTAAGTTAAATTTCATAACGTTATCGTTTTAGGATTTAAATTGTCCTGTCCTGACGAAAAGGGAATATCGCTGGGATCTGTATTACTTTGACACAATGTTAAGTGGACTTGATTTTATTTCATCAAAACAAAAAGAGTTAGTAAAAGATGTGGAGAATTTATTCAAAAGGTTTGTAAAGCCTCGATTGGATGTTCTTCCAAAGCAATGCATCCATGGTGATATTACTTGCGGAAATGTAATTATCAGAAAAAATCCTGATTCGGAGAAGTTAGAAGTTTCTGGTTTCATTGATTTTGGAGATGTCAATTATAGTTGCAGAGTTTTCGAAATTGCTATCGCCGCTGCTTACATGATGAATGTAGCTGAAGATGACATAATCAAAGTTGGTGCGTACACAGTTGCTGGCTTTCATGAGATTTGCCCCTTATCCCAGGAAGAAAGTGATGTAATATTTTATTGTATTCAAGCACGGTTGTGCATGTCTGGTTGTTTTGGTGCCGAATCCTGCGAGATGCATCCTGATAATGCCGAGTATTTTCTATGTGACGCAAGAAGAGTTTGGAGAGTTTTAGAAGCGCTGGCGAGCATTGATAAACACGAATTTGATAAAATGTGGAGAGAACTTTACAACAGCGTCCAAAAAAAACAATTTTAAAATGCATGCATGTATGAGTTGGTCGTTGTACGGCAATTTTATATTTGCAATTATTGTAAATGCAAAGATTATAATAATCCTGTCAAAAAGTAAATCAATGATTAATATAGCAAAGACAGGGACGCAAAATTGAGGAGACACTATTTCTCAGGGGCAATTTTCATTAATAAAAAATATGTATTGGGACGGTTTGGCTGTTTGAGTTTGTTTTTCTTAACAATTCGGAAATTTAGAATGCAGACATGCAATTTCTTGCTTTTTTACGCCAGTGGGGAAGGTTCCAGATCTGTTTCTGTAAAATAGGTAAACTTAAATTCATGGACAACGAATCATATTATTTCCTATTATTTTCTATTATTTCCTTTCCTCATTTGCAAATCAACAGGAAGAGGGGTGTTTGGTATGAAAAGAGCTACAGTTTGTCATGCTCAATTCAACGCTGTTTTGAGATTTTCGACGTGCAATGTATGTACTCTGTGGCGAAACCTGATTGACAGGATTATCATCATGACCGATCATTCCAATATCTCACGGCCAAAAATCCACAAAACAAGAATCCAAAGCATTGTATATAAGTTTTTTAAAAATTCATCATGTGCACTTAGCTTAATGATTTTCGTTAGAATCCACGTGACTGAGTCAGGGTTAGATCATGCAGATCATGAGGTAGTACATGTTCTTGAATGAGAGCTACTGAAGTAGTGATCTGATTGAAGTTAATGAGTTCACGGCAACCAGGTATATAATCCATCGTAATTATCGCTACTCTGGTTTTAATAAAATAATGAAAGTAATCATCACACAAAGATTAACTTTCACGACCCAACGTTTCGACACTCCGGTCTAGTGTCTTCATCAGGGGTTGATGAAGACCTAATGAAGACACTAGACCGGAGTGTCGAAACGTTGGGTCGTGAAAGTTAATCTTTGTGTGGTGATTACTTTCATGATTTTATTAAAACCAGAGTAGCGATAATTACGATAGTGATTTGATGTTGTAGAGAACTTGTGTGAGCAGAATTGAGTCTCATGTGCTCTCTCAAGGAAGATCAGGTTAGACCTTACCCAGTATCGTATTTGTGACCTCGATCAAAGGTATTTAACGAGGATTGCAGATATCTTTGAATGAGGAATGATAAAAGTTCCTTTCCAAAAAAAACCCCAAAGCCATTTAGTTCGTCTCTGCATTGCACTGATAGCAGTATTGCTGGGCAAATGTT